GAAGTAGATTAGTCCATTTAGACCCCCAAACATACACGTACAAACGCACTTACATAATACACTTACATAATTGGTCACTTTTGGGAGGTAATCGTTATGCGGGGGTCCACTGTATAACTGGTGTTATGGGATAATACAGTTTATGTAACTATTGTGCTGTTGTAAGAAATGTCTAACTAATATATCAGAAGTTACTATTTATCTGACTGTTATAACTATTATTAGGGGGAAAGGGTACTGCTTATTGATCACTTTACAGTTGCAAGAAAGGTAACTGTATTATTTCAAGTAAATAATTTCCTATCTGTCTTATCTGCACATCAATTAGTTTATGCCTCTCGTTTATCTTTATCTGTCAGAAACTTATGTCAATGCTCCCAGATAAATTAATAATATTTTCTTAATTTTTTTATAACACACCAGATGTCTCTACCACGTGAAGGCAGAGTGACCTGAGTGACCCATAAAAGAGGTACATTTAGTAATTTATACATGAGGAGGAGGAAGAGTTACTAGTATGACATATGGTGGAAAGATTGTCTGAATAATATACTTTTGTAATAGTTTTACCAAAATGTGTCTTAAACTAATGTAGTTAAAACAAGAGTCTTTAATAAGCCAATAAGAACAATATTAATACATGACCTGAAAAAGTAGGTAAATTGTTAATGAGAACTTAATGCAATCTTACATTCACTGCTCATTATCAAATTAATCTTCTTTCTTTCTTTCAATAAACTGACCATATCCCACCGACACGAAAGGAAAAACAAAAGTTTTTCCTTTTAAATTTAGTAATAAATACAGGAGAAGGGGTTACTAACCCCTTGCTCCCGGCGTTTTAGTTGCCTCTTACGACATGCATGGCTTACAGAGGAAGAATTCTGTTCCACTTCCCCATGGAGATAAGCGGAAATAAACAAGAACAAGAACTAGTTAGAAAATAGAAGGAAGACCAGAGGAGTGTGTATATATATGCTTGTACATGCATGTGTAGTGTGACCTAAGTGTAAGTAGAAGTAACAAGACGTACCTGAAGTTGTCATATAAATGTCTGACCTATATAACCAGTATGTGTACTTAGTACTAAAATGTACATGTACTAAAATGTACATGTACTAAAATGTACATTGTGCATGTCATGCATCAGTTTACCCAAGGTAAGACCATTAATTATTTGAGTGTATGGTAAGTACCAAGACTAGTAGAGAAAATATTGTAGCAGTGACTAAACTGTATATGAAGCACTAAGAATTCTGGAGAGAATATAGCTAAGTAACTGATAATTATTATGAATTATTTTTTATAATGCATGATAGCTTATACAAAATATCGATATACATTTTTTAAAACTTTTGTGAAAGCTTTAAGAGCAACATTTGGAATTATGTACAGCAATAAAGAACCCATCAGTGGAGGTGCTGCCTGTGAAAGGCTCTTGATCCTAGAAATTGGAGCTATCCTGTTCCTCTAATCACCCCACACATTTCTCAAACACTTGAATAACCAGTACTGGTTTAGACTTCCCCAAGTTTATAATAATATTGCAATATAATATTAAAGAAATATTAGTTATCAATATAGTCAAACATTCTCTAAAATCTATTCATATGGAAGATTATTGTTTGGTAACAGAGTTGTGACTGAGTGGAACAAACTCCCTAGTAGCTAAAACCTTAAGTAGTTTTAAAAAGAGAAAGTACTCGTTTGTGCTTTATTGTTATCTGTTTACAATAATGTTTTATCACTGATTACATCATTGCTTAGTTAATATTAACCCTTAAACGGTCCAAACAGATTGACGTTCAAATTCGTAGTGCTCCAAAAGTAGATCTATTTTTTTTTACATATTTCCAAATATAACAAAAAAAAATATAGATAAAAGTTTTTTTACACGTTTTCAAATGTAAAACAAAAAAGATCTACATTTTTTACATACTTTCAGATGTTGAAAAAACGTATAGTATATACATTTGGACCATTTAAGGGTTAAGTTAATTTTAAGCCAGCCCGTAATGCTATGCATATAAGTGGCTTTGGCATGCTGCTCTTATCTGTATTTTTTGTACCTCTGTATGTTCAAATTATTAAATAAATAAATAAATAAAAAGTACATAAGAGGGTTTTGGTGGGTGTTGCTTGGACTTAATTATTATGGGCCACTAAGCCTACCCCAGTGTGCCTTTATTCTTTTTAAGTTAATCAATATGTCTGAAATAATTGAAAAAGATTCTGTTGAAAGAAGACTAATAATTCATGGAGAAGACAAACTGCATCAGAGTCTAGAAGATTTTAAACAAAAATCTCAGGGAACATCAAATATTATTATTGTTAATGGTAAAAAAACATTTCCATGTTCATTATGTCTAAAAGTCTTTTCATATAATTCTTGTTTAATAAAACACATGAGAGTTCATACTGGAGAGAAACCATTTCGGTGTTTAGAGTGTCATAAAGGTTTTACCCAAAAGTCTAGTTTAATGAACCACATGAAAATCCATACTGGAGAGAAGCCATTTCACTGTTTGGAATGTCTAAAAGACTTTTACCAAAAATCCGATTTAACAAAACATGCGAGAGTTCATGATGAAAAGAAGCCATTTCAGTGTTCAGAGTGTGTAAAAGGTTTTTTACGAAAATCTAGTTTGATAAACCACATAAAAACTCATACTGGGGAGAGACCATTTAAATGCCTAGAGTGTCAAAAAGACTTTTATGAGAAGTCTAATTTAATAAAACATATGAGAATTCATACTGGAGAGAAACCATATCAATGTTCAGTGTGTCTAAAAAATTTTAACCAGACATCTACTTTATTAATACATATGAGAATTCATACTGGTGAAAAGCCATTCAAGTGTTCAGAGTGTTCAAAGAGGTTTTCAAGCAAATCTTCTTTAATAGATCACACAAAAGTTCACACTGGAGAAAAACCATGTCAGTGTTATTTATGTCTTAAATCCTTTTCAGATAAATCTGCTTTAATAACTCACATGAGAATTCATACTGGAGAAAAACCATATCAGTGCTCAGAGTGTCTAAAAGCCTTCACCCAAAAAAATACTTTAGTAGACCACATAAAAATTCATACTGGAGAGAAACCATACCATTGTTCAATATGTCTAAAAGACTTTAGGAGAAAATTTCATTTAAAAAAACACATACGCGTCCATACAGGAGAAAAACCATTTCGGTGTTTAGTGTGTGCAAAAGAATATGTAGATAAACGTAATTTAGTAAAACACATGAGAATTCATCCAAGGAAGTAGTTATATCAGTGTTAAACCCTTTCACTGTTGAGATCCTGATCACAAACTTGCTCTCAGTGTCGAAAAATATTAAACAAAATTATTTTATCTTAACAAAATCTTAAGAATATTTTTCTGAGTGTTTTAAAAGAAAAAAATTTTTTGCAATCATTATTTACCAAGATAGTATAGAGGCGTGACATTGACAGAAGGTGAACCTTGGATGGCAACATCGGCAACTACCACTCATTCGGAAATATTGTTTTTACTTTTATTCTATTTTTTCTTTTCTAATATTTTATTTTTTCAAGTAACTTTTGTGGTCTGTGAGACCAATATAATGCATAATGTATATATATCCACTCGTTGGCACTGATGGACATCCTGCAGCCAGTCCCAGATGTGGTCTGCTGGTGGGTACTGGATATTGACAGGTGGTTGTGGTTGTGCAAGTTGTTGTGGCGTGTGTGGTTGAAGGTGGCCTTTGTTGTGGATGTGCGGAGTCAACAGCATGGCTACCATCCTGGGGTGCCGCTGGTGCCACATGACGCATTGCACCACCACCTGCTGCCGTGTGTATATTATCCATCCCAGTTGTAACATTACTCATTACCCACACCATCTTCCCCACCACCCACACTGTCTTCCCCATGACCTATGCTGGAAATAAGTCACTGACTTTTTTGGGTTATCCTAGGATCTCTACACATATGCTGCTATGTACGATAATCTATGTAACTGTATTTGTGTATACCTGAATAAATTTACCTACACACTGTCTTCTCAATCACCCATGCTGCCTTCCCCAGCACCCACACCATCTTCCCCACCATCTACGCTGTCTTCCCCACAACCCACGCTGTCTTCCCCCACCACCGACACCATATTCCCTTTTCCGCTATCTGTATCTGGTATCCCTGGGCATTGCTTTCTGTCACAAACTTGTCAAAACCATGAAATTTATCTTCACTGACACTTCCATCTGTGTTAGAACTATCGCTAGGGAAAAGAGAGTCCCAGTTTGACAGGGAGTTAGGTATTCCTTACCGCTACACTTGGTGAACAAGGCGTACTGAATTGGCACTCCCACAATGCACTGTGGCCTCCCAGATTTTTTATACTGCACACACTGAGCACACAGACCCATTCTCTAACATGTAGGTCTACCAGCTTTCTCCTGCTAGATTTGAAGCCTTAGAATTTTGGCATAATATTATGGTGCCAACACTGGCTTGCAAGCCATAATATTATGGCACTGACAGTGAAAGGGCTACTAAAAGAGTTGTCACGCAAGTCAAAGTTAACAGTGCATTTCAAAAGTTCTTGATTGGGAAATTTTGCGAGTAAATGGTGTGATTAGAAGACATTACAGGAAGGTATCAGGGAAAACTCCAAATGTTGATTCTTCCATTTTATCACTGTTCATTTGCTTACAAGAACCTAAACATCGTGGGATGTGCTTAGCTTCTGTCCAGAGTTCTGGAGGGCAGCTTTGGGTGTCTTCAAGGTGATGGGTTGATCATTAGAGGCTGCCTGTCAGTTCCAGGAGGCTGGAGGTCAAAGGGGTTATGCCTCTTGGTAAGTTTCAGTTCACCTTCTCTTTCGTCTACTAAGGTGGCTTGGTGAATGCGAGGCGCCTGTCCTGGATTGCTGGTCTGCTGGCATGAAGGATAGGTTAGGGAGTGGGTTCCATGCAGCATAAGCTGGACATTGAGGAGGATATATGGTCTCTTTTTCTTTCTCCTCAGAATTCCCCCTCCCCCACTGCCCGAAATGCCCCGGCATTTGTTTGTACATAGCAAGCCAAAATTGTAATTACACATTGTAAACTATTCTTTTATCTGCTTCCCAAGTCCCTTTCTTGCTTAGTGGTATCCTTAATTGACACATCCATATACCTGTCTACGTATCTTTACATGAACCCGGTGCTTCCTTAAGGCAGTACCTCGTTGCCTGACTCTGGTGCCAGAGTTCCAACTGATCCTTTCAATTCTGTTTCTTCTCACCCTTATTCTCATAAATTGACAAAATTCTTTACTCTTTAACCAACAACACCTGCAGATTATCTTTTTGACCTTAGTATCAGCATAAATTCTAATGGCTTCGAATTTGGTGTGAGAGGCCTGTGCAGTATACAAAAAATGTGACCCTTGCAAGTGTTATAAACCTTGGTAATAAATACCGACAAGTTGGTTTAGAAAGACACGTAAGCAAACACTATAACATATTTATTAGAAAACGTTTCGGTCCTGGGACCTTGATCACTTCTAACATACAGAGGTAGAAAGACATTATATATATAGGCGGAGAGTGAGATGTGACGCACGTGACCTGAGGAATGTCATAAGAACATAAGAATGGAGGAACACTGTAGAAGGCCTACTGGCTCATGCGAGGCAGGTCTTTATCAAAACAACCTCTACCTATGATGAGGACGGGTAGACATGAAATCATGTGACCCTGTTTGTTGGGTTGGTGCTGCTTAAGTATCATGTATGCCAATGTTTTTGAAATTTTGTAGTTTCCAGTGTTGCGTTCTATAGTGTCGGTGATGGCAATTAGTGAGGCTTCTAGGCACCGTTGGCATCTGAGGTCTGGTTCGGTGAGAACCAGTTGTGCCTCATTCCAGTTCATCAAATGCCCTGTGGAGTCTCTGTGGAGGACACAGGCGTACCTTACAATCGTCTCTGTTAGAGGCATTTCGATGCTCATATCAGGCGGACTGCAAGATCTCTGCCTGTCTCGCCTACATATTTCTTGGGACAGAACCCACAGGGATAGTGTAGACGCCTGCTGTAGAAGTTAGAGGTGTGGGGCTGCGTTTCGTAGTGAGGTCTTTGATAGATGATGTGTTTATGGTGGAAACGTTGATGTTACTCATAGCAAGTGCCCGGCGAGTATTCGTGGCAACATCGCCACATGGGAGTACTATGAACTGTTTAGGGGCTGTTCCATGGGCGGTTTGTTGAGGATAGCTTGTTGCCTTGAGTCTGCAATCTCGGATGAAGAAAGATGGGAACTGAAGACGTGAAAAGGGCTTGTGTTATGAAAGTGCATTCTTCTTCTAGAAAACAAGGGCTGGAGATGCGAAGAGCTCTCAAGAAGAAGCCAATGAGGACTCCTCTCTAGTGCGGGTGTCTTGGTGTGAATAAAAGTGTATAAGATCGTCCTTGTTGGTAGGTTTTCTATACACTTTGAAGAGAAGTTTGTCACTGTCGGGAGATCTGCAGTAGAACATCGAGGAAAGGAAGTTTGCCATCATTTTCGAGTTCAAGTGTAAACTTTATTGATGGTTCAACTGCATTGATCTTGTTGAGAAGGGCCTGGATATTGAAACGTCTCGGATAGAAAACCAATATATCATCAACGTATCTTAGCCAGGTAACGGTGTTGGGAATGAGGGTGCTGAATTTCTCTGTCTCCAGGTTTTCCATGAAGAGGTTGGCAAGCACAGCACTGAGCGGGCTGCCCATTGCCATCCCAAAGCATTGTTTGTAACAGTTGTCCTGATACTTGAAGAAGTTGAAATTAACACAAAGTTCCACTAGATTGATGAAATCTAGAAGAGGTAAAGGGAGGTCGTGGTTTTCAGTGAGCCTCTGTCTCAGAATGTTGATTGCAGCGTCAGTAGGAACGTTGGTAAAGAGGGCTGTGACATCGAAGGAAGCCATGCTTTTGTTTTTGACATTCAGGTTGGAAATTCGGGAGAGTAGGTCACCTGAGTGTTTGAGGTGGGCCTGACTGATGGTGCCCAGAAGCGCTGAAAGGTATTTGGCAAGGTGGCCGGCTAGTCTTGTGGTGCACTCCCTTTTGCCCGAAGTGATAGGCCGTAGTGGGATGCCAGGTTTGTGTGTCTTAGGAAGGCCATACAGGCGTGCTGGTTTCAGTTGACCTGGTAAAAGTTTAACTTTAAAAGTTTAACTTTTAAAAGTTTAACTTTTACCAGGTCAACCGAAACCAGCACACCTGTATGGCCTTCCTAAGACACACAAACCTGGCATCCCACTACGGCCTATCACTTCGGGCATAGGGAGTGCACCACACAGACTAGCCGGCCACCTTGCCAAATACCTTTCAGCGCTTCTGGGCACCATCAGTCAAGCCCACCTCAAGCACTCAGGTGACCTACTCTCCCGAATTTCCAACCTGAATGTCAAAAACAAAAGCATGGCTTCCTTCGATGTCACAGCCCTCTTTACCAACGTTCCTACTGACGCTGCAATCAACATTCTGAGACAGAGGCTCACTGAAATCCACAACCTCCCTTTACCTCTTCTAGATTTCATCAATCTAGTGGAACTTTGTGTTAATTTCAACTTCTTCAAGTATCAGGACAACTGATGGAGGTGGTGGTGGAGGTGATGGTGGTGGTGGTGATGGTGGAGGTGGTGGTGGTGATGGTGGTGGTGGTTATTTTGGTGGTGGTGGTGATGGTGGGGGTGGCAACTGTTACAAACAATGCTTTGGGATGGCAATGGGCAGCCCGCTCAGTGCTGTGCTTGCCAACCTCTTCATGGAAAACCTGGAGACAGAGAAATTCAGCACCCTCATTCCCAACACCGTTACCTGGCTAAGATACGTTGATGATATATTGGTTTTCTATCCGAGACGTTTCAATATCCAGGCCCTTCTCAACAAGATCAATGCAGTTGAACCATCAATAAAGTTTACACTTGAACTCGAAAATGATGGCAAACTTCCTTTCCTCGATGTTCTACTGCAGATCTCCCGACAGTGACAAACTTCTCTTCAAAGTGTATAGAAAACCTACCAACAAGGACGATCTTATACACTTTTATTCACACCAAGACACCCGCACTAAGAGAGGAGTCCTCATTGGCTTCTTCTTGAGAGCTCTTCGCATCTCCAGCCCTTGTTTTCTAGAAGAAGAATGCACTTACATAACACAAGCCTTTACACGTCTTCAGTTCCCATCTTTCTTCATCCGAGATTGCAGACTCAAGGCACAAGCTATCCTCAACAAACCGCCCATGGAACAGCCCCCTAAACAGTTCATAGTACTCCCATGTGGCGATGTTGCCACGAATACTCGCCGGGCACTTGCTATGAGTAACATCAACGTTTCCACCATAAACACATCATCTATCAAAGACCTCACTACGAAACGCAGCCCCACACCTCTAACTTCTACAGCAGGCGTCTACACTATCCCCTGTGGGTTCTGTCCCAAGAAATATGTAGGCGAGACAGGCAGAGATCTTGCAGTCCGCCTGAATGAGCATCGAAATGCCTCTAACAGAGACGATGTAAGGTACGCCTGTGTCCTCCACAGAGACTCCACAGGGCATTTGATGAACTGGAATGAGGCACAACTGGTTCTCACCGAACCAGACCTCAGACGCCAACGGTGCCTAGAAGCCTCACTAATCGCCGTCACCGACACTATAGAACGCAACACTGGAAACTACAAAATTTCAAAAACATTGGCATACATGATACTTAAGCAGCACCAACCCAACAACACAGGAGTCACATGATTTCATCGTCTACCCATCCTCATCATAGGTAGAGGTTGTTTTGATAAAGACCTGCCTCGCATGAGCCAGTAGGCCTTCTACAGTGTTCCTCCATTTTTATGTTCTTATGACATTCCTCAGGTCACGTGCGTCACATCTCACTCTCCGCCTATATATATAATGTCTTTCTACCTCTGTATGTTAGAAGTGATCAAGGTCCCAGGACCGAAACGTTTTCTAATAAATATGTTATAGTGTTTGCTTACGTGTCTTTCTAAACCACCCTTGCAAGTGCATT